AAAAAATGGGTTAACACCCGAGTTCGGTAGTGCTTTACGCCAAACAATAGAGGCACGTATTTGGGAAGTAATAGTCATACCAAGGCCACTATCCCAGGCGGGTAATGTCCAACAAAATTCAGGTGCAGGAAACAATCCTGCACAATTGCGTTTGAAAATGCGTACTGGCATCGGTGGTATCGAGCGTTCCATTGAAGCCAAGGCAAAAGAGACGGATGAAAATATTGCACTGGCTTTTCAGGACCTTAATGTACTAATGGCCATGGCTAAAGATATGGTAGCCATATCTAAGGTGATAAGCACAAAGATACGCGAACAAAAAGGGGAAATTTCCGATGACGAAACGGTGCGTTTTAAATCCTATTTGTTGAGTTTAGGTATAGACGATCCAGTGACACGAGAACATTTCTCCAGTAACTCTGAATATTTTCGCAGTTTGGCGCAACAAGTATGTGAATTGCTTCTGGATCCCATTGAGGTGAGTAGGAGCTCCAAGCGCATTTGTATGTATACACAAAAAAGATAGTTCAATACTCTTAACCTTCATATTAATTATATTTTGACAATTTCCAGGAACAAGGTGGCATGATGTCGCTTGCAGATGTTTATTGTCGTGTAAACCGTGCGCGCGGCCTTGAGTTACTCTCACCAGAGGACTTACTACACGCTTGCGAACAACTCAATGGTCCCATAAAGCTGAGAAAATTTCCCAGTGGCGCTATGGTACTCCAGTTGGAATCTCAAGATGATGAGCTTGTAGCGGCAGATACGTTGGAAAAGGTGAAAGAGGCCACATCGTTAGCGGTTGAAGAGCTTGCCAAACAGATGGGTATTTCTTTGCTGTTGGCAAAGGAGCGGCTATTAGCCGCTGAGCGTTTGGGTAAAGTGTGTCGCGATGAATCGTTAGAAGGATTACGCTTCTATCCAAACTTGTTGCTTCATCGTGACAATGATAGCTAAGAGGTTGAAGTGTGGAAATGGAATTACATATTAATATCTAAATAGTAAAAATGCAAAACATAAGTAAATAAAATTTTTAAAGCTTTCTCAATTTTTCCATTTAATAAATATTTTTTTATTATCACTTACATAAATACATATTTTACAATATATTTTTTAGTTTTGATATTGGATACATATATATACATATATATGCATATACATACATACATATACACATATATGTACATATATATTTAGATTGCGCTGATTACATTGCATTTTTTTATCATAACATTGCATATTTTTAATCACTAGAGTCATTGTATTTTTTAGTGTAACTATAATAAATTGCAGCATATATTTTTTATAAAGAAAGATTATACCAGCTAAATCGAGAGTCTTCTTATCATACAATTGTATTTAGTGTTATGTATTTGTATCTACTCACATTACATTTATTTAGGTTTAATTCGATATAAATTTTTAATGTTTTTATTAACTGCTTTTTGTATTTTCTTTTGCTTGCAAGCATTATATAGCAATAATGCTTTTATTACATATTTAAATGTATATACACACACATACATACATTCATAAGTACATTATCATTTTTTATAGTCTTTTGAGTATTCAAGTTTTTAGCTTAAACTATGAACTTTGAGTTATTAATATTAGTTCTCTGCTAATATGTATATTTTGAGTGCATTTTCGTATTTTGGTCACAAAATCGTTTGAAAATTTAAATGCATTATTTATTTATTTAATTTCTGTGAATTTCTCATTTCACTTCAATCAGGTATAGGTCAGTGCGAATATTATTAAGCCAATGTTAAAAGCTAAGTAAAAACGCTGTTGAAGTAACAGAGACAGCACCACATTCACACACTCTTTTTTCGTCAGATTCCAGCGCAAGTCAACATGATTCTTCTGTGATAAAATCTAAGTAAAAGCGCAAAAAAAAAACATATATAAAAATATCAGGTATGCAGCCATTCAGTAGTGGGATTCTACAAATATATAAGATTACGCTAAATTTTAACAACCGATATTATAAAAAAAGATGCTGGTGCTTTAAATTTTTGCATTTAGGATTTTAGGCGGCCGGGTTGTTAGTAGCACTAAGTTCTTGCCTTAATGTATCCAGCAATCTATAATTGAAACCAAAATTTATGGCACTATTCCCAGTGCCAATGACAAAATTCATCGCATGGCTAATGCTTTAACTACGGCTGCTGTGACTGAGTGGCTAGAGGCGAGTACTACCTCTCCATGGGACATGGGTTTGATCTCTGGTCCGAGCAACATCTAAATTAGAAGTTTCTTTTAAACATTTAAACATTTGCCGTTCGGAGGCGGTGTAAAACTGTCGGTACCGCCATTTAAGTAATAACGTGAATACGCACATCATAAACGGGAGGAAAATCTCGACAAAACACCTAGTAAGTACAAAAATATCATTATTAATAATGACTATTGCGATTGCTATTATAATGACCTACTGAGTACATTGCAATGACGAAACATTGAGCCTTACCGATAATTCCATGTGAATAATTCCTTCTCATAAACGAATACCACATTAAATTTCATATAAAAAAATTTCATCCAATAAACAGATGGGTGAATGTCGTTCCTTATTCGGATCTTCTACTAACTACAAAATTTTCAGTTGTAGTATAATAAAGTGTTAGTTTCAAGCCACTAAAAGTTACCGTTGATTTCTTAGACTTTTTTTTACCGAGGGTGTTGCGCATTTTCTTCCATATAAAAAACAGATTTTGTTCACGGAGGAAAATGCTCACCCTCGACAAAGGAAAAACAAGAAAAAGTCGATGGTTCTTTTAAGTGACTTGAAACTTGCACTTTATTGCAATAAAATTGAATGGACTACAAAACTGCATACTCAAAAATTCTGAATAAACTTTGAAATTTTGATGAAAAGTTTTTAGGTAGATTAATTTTTGTGAACTTTGCGCATTATTTGCAAGTTTTATTTGTGTGGTTTCTGTTATAGATCGAACTATATTTTTTAATGAACATTATTAAAGTTGCAAACAACATGATTTTGAATTTTGCTACTATTTTATTTCCCGCAGCTTAATGTACATATATACATACCCTCACGGCAAAAAGTATTGGCACAAAATTTTTCACACTACATGAAACTTCTTTTATTATAATTTTTTCCGATAACTTGTTATAAAAGTATGGTTCATACTACAGCAACAATCAAAAAAATATAATTTTTAACTTTGTGCAAATTAAATAAATATTCAACAGATTTTTTTTTTAAATTTTACACAGAATTTCTAAGTGCAGTTTTGTAGCCCATTTTTGATAAAAAAGGCAAACTTGAAGTTGATAAAAAATCGCACTGATTTTTTAGAAGTTTTTTTTTTTTTGTTGAAGCCGTTAGTTGAACATATTTTTATAAAAAAAATTTGCAGAAAAAATTATACCTAATAAACATTTTTTCTCTGTGCCAATAGTTTTTGCCGTTAGTGAATATAATTACGGTTCTGAAAAAAGTGTTAAAAAATCTTGAAATAAATAAACCCAGGCGCTTTTTTACGACGACTATTACACTTGACTCTATTTACAAGCTTTACTGAGGGATTAGATAACCTTCGGGGATAAGGATATAGCCTGATGGTTAGACGTGTTCTGAGCAGCATTCAACAAGTTTTTTCTAGTAGCGGTCGCCCCGTTAGGATGTACTTATACCCAGGCCCGACTGGTAGTTTGTCGACAACGACAAGAAAGCCCGAAATTAACAAGGGCCCGGGATTTTTTGAAAATTAAATTGGTAAATAAAAAAATTTTACTAAGTTGATAAATTTGATTACAATATTTTAAGATATTTTTTTTTTTTTTGTTGGCGGGGGTTGTTCCCAGCACATATTTAGTACCGGGCCCGGATTAGCTCTTGGTGGCCCTGCTTACACCTAATCATCTTCTTGCACGGTTAGTCGGGGAACTAAAAAACTCAAGCAAAAAAAAAAATGTAAAAAAAATTATTATTTTCAAACGAGATCCACAGTTGCTGACTTTTCTAATAAACTCATCTCATTATAAAATAAAAATCACATAAAAGACCCAACTGCTTTCTATTAAAAAAAGGTAATCAGGACTATCACAGAATCCATCGTAGCTTTGGTTTTCATGAAATCTAGCTACGAACGTAAATTCGAAATTCGTAGAGAGCCTTCATCGAATCCGTTCTTATTGAAGATACTCTATGACGAGTTTATGCTGTCGGAACAAAATTTAAAGCAGAGACCATAACAATTATAAGAAATAAAATTTAATATTGCTCTATAATTATAACTGAACAATGGAAAAGTTGTTTTCGTCTCGCAGGACGATTATTTTAAGATGTAAACTATTTTCGTCTTTTCATCTAACCTAATTATATAAAGAGATGTCCCTTTTTTTGTAAAAGGTAATCTCGCGAACGGCTGGTCCGATTTTCATAAAATTTTTTATATAAATAGCTTTCAGCTATGACATGGTGGTTTGTCATAGGGACCAATCTATACGAAAAAATCGTATAATGGTGCGATTTGCTTAAAATTTGGTACGTAGGTAGCGTTTTGCTTAGATAGCATTTAGGATCCTTTTTCCGGGAAGTGGACCAGGAACCGATCTATTCGAAAAAATCATATTTAGCTTCTTGCATAGATTAGAATATAGGATCCTTTTTTAGGGAAGTGGATCAGGGACCGATCTATTCGAAAAAGTCGTATTTATGGTCCGATATGCTTTTTGCGAAATTAACATATAGGATCCTTTTTTCCGGTGAGTAATACCGTGACCGATCTATTCGAAAAAGTCGTTCTTATGGTCCAATTTGCTTGAAATTTGGCACGTAGGCAGTTTTTTTTTGCCGAAATTAGCATTTAGAATACCTTTTTCCGCTAAGTAGACCAGGGACCAATCTATTCGAAAAAATCTCATTTATGGTGCGATTTGCTTGAAAGTAAGGAGGTAGCTTACTGCCTGGATTGACATATAGGATACTTTTTTTCTGATAGATGGACCAGATGCCGAGCTATTTGAAGTCAATCCCTTACTCATGGAGAAAATTTAGTGTTAGTACCAAAAACAACATGCTACGTGCTACCTGTTTTTGATACTCATTTTATAATGTTTAATGTTCTCCTGTAAAATAAAAATTTGTTGGTTAGGGCCTTTGTGAGTTACGAAACGCCAGGTGGCGCTGGACTGAAGTTATTACTAAAAATCATATTTATTGTCCGATTTGGCTCATATTCGAGATATATATTGGTAACGACAGCGGCAATATGTACTTTAGCCCACAAAGAGCTGCAAGGTGGCGCTGGAGTCGAGTTAGTTATTGGTAAAAATCGTCAAGTGGAGTCACTCGGAGACATCAAGGATCAACGTTATTACCATCGTTAAATCAACCACAAGAATAATTGCGGTCCTTGCTTTGCGGCGACTAAACAGAATAAAGACAATGCTTGATAAATGCCTACAAACACAACAGTAAGACATCAACGGTATTTCGTCTGAAATAAGCCTGTGTATATTGGATTTCTGTGGGCTAATGATACCACCCTCCCCCTTTTCAAAATTGCCACCAACTGTACTATACAGATTCAAGGACGATTCAGCATCGAACCAGATCATTGTTGACACAATAACTTCTACACGGGACGAAGTTTTCCGGGTCTGCTAGTAATAATTATATGGGACTTTTATTTTTTTCGTATCGCGGGACATTTATTTCAAGATGGAAATGATTTACGCCTTCGAAAAAAGATACATATTTCTCATAAATAATTATTATACAAAGACGAAAAATTGTTTACTTACAACAGGGCGACGATTTTGTGATCAAATATCTATGGTCATAAGCAATAACCGTTTAAGTCGAAAAACCTAAATTCGAGAAAAAACGTTTTAAACATTTGGATTGGAATGTTAGCCTTATGGGGAAACCGATATATGTTCGTTTATAACTTGTAAATAGCCCAGCTGGCGAGATGGTGATTTCATATACACATGGATCAGTAGTTTCAGAATACGATGGCATATATAACTCAATTTTTTCTTAAGTCGACTTAGGCGGTTATTGCTTATAAC